GAAATATGAGACTCTTGTTATCCATCTCCTAGGGTTTTATGAGGATTAACTCACTTAACATGAGCTTCCTAGCATAGTAACATGTCTCTGTAACGTACTACTGAGACATAGTACATTGATCATAAACCTTGCATTAATGCATGTAGTTTTTCAAACGCTTACTTCCTCAAACATTGCTGCCTTCTGCTGCCTCTGTAAACCTTAAAGGGCCAGCAGACAATGCCATGTTTCAGGATAGAGGTTGGTGGTCTTCACTTTGGACCAGAAGTATTTGTGATGTGATAAGAGTGGTGGGCGTGAGGGACCCTGTGTGCTGTGCTTGCTGTCACTAACTGAGTGCTACTGATCATGCATGTTTAGGGAACTGCATCACCACTAACAGGGAACTTCTACAGAAACCAATTCACGTAATCCTTCCAAACCTGCAGAATCATATTACTTAGAGTAGGTGCAGAATACCAAATGATTTCTGTACAAATTAAAAATGGTGAGACAAGGCTTAGAATCCAGTCTTCTGAGCAAGATCACATGGCCAGCTTCATGAAATACCATCACCCATTCCTGCTCCACAGACTGTCTGTGGTCTAAGTGGGAACATAATTAATTTAAGTGCCCAGTGGGATCTGAGGTGAGGGCCAGGATGAAGTACAAGGGCTCCCAGATACACATGTGAGAGTCTTATTCAGCCTTTGTTCCAAAGGGAGGCGACAGGGCCTGCTCTGCTTGTGTTTGTTGAGGGCAGGTCTGTGCAGCTCGTGTTTCCATTGTTATAGCAGAAATCGCTGACTCTGAGTGTAGAAAAGGGGCACCTCATGTGTATTGAAGCTCATTTCTGAGTTTCTGCCTCTTGTGATGAAGTACAGGAAAGGGTGGATTTTTTTTTTTTTTTGTCTACTTCTAAGTCCTTCTGTCTCTGGCAGGTGAAGAGGTTGTCCTGACATATTTAAAGATATATTGTTCTCAACATACAAGTGTGATTTGTCCAGGTAATCTTATCTGAAAAGGAATCTCATAGGAATCTCATAGAGGAGGAAGAGGAAGAATGGTGTCCCATGTCAGGGGCTGTATCCTCTTTTCCTCCTAAGAATGTCATGTGTTTAGAACTTGCAGACTTTTACTTCTCTACTTGCTATGTTGCTGGCTAACGAGTTTATGTCAACAACATTTTTTTCTCCTTATAATATTCAAAGAGCTCTGAAAATACTTCTTTTCTGTATATCAGAGGCTTCTCTTCATCCTGGCTTCTATGCCAAGAGCAATTCTTAACATGAATTATGAGCTGCAGTATTATAAATGTTCCTTTTGTGGCCATTGAATGTGTGAAGGCGTGGTTGGCCAAGGTTCCTATTGGGGATGGCGTTGAATTCTCAGGTATCAGTGAAAAAGGAAAACATGCCTTATTTAGGGTTTATCTGCATGCTCTGGTAGCTCTATTAAGACAATGAACATTTAAACAGGATGATGTTTACTAACCCAGAAAATCTCAGAAAGTTCTGAATAAAGAATAGATGGAGGAAGTTTGCTCTTTAAAATGCTTAAAAAAAAATAAAGACTAAATATACAATTTACAAAACATGGGAGATATCTATAACTTGAACCTTGGATTAAACTGATATTTCTTCATGATTAGATTCAGATTGTAATTTATGTTTTTGTCCAGTAATATATCACACCACTGATGTTGTGTCTTCTATGTGCTTTGGCACGTGTTACCAATTTTCCTATTACAGTTGATGCTAGTTTTATTCACAGTTTAAGGTACTGCCCTATGACAGATTTTCCCACTGAAGAGTTAGTTATTTTTCTCTTTATGATTAATAAGTTCCTTCAGAAGATTTCCTGAGTTATGTACGTAAATAATCACATTTGATTCAGTAGCTCTCCTTCCTAGATTCACCTTGCACATAGCTTGCTTTAGGGAATTAAGGCTCTCATATTTGTTCACTGGTCAGATGAACTTGGATAAACTACCACTTACTGGATGTTTGGCAACATGTTCTCCTTGGGCTGGAAGCACTGACATCACTGGGAGCTTGTTAGAAATGCAAAAACATAAGTGTCACCTCAGATCTCCTGAATAAGAATCTACATTTTAACACACTCTCCAGGTCATTGTTGTACAAAGTAAAATCTGAAAAGTGTGCTTCTAGTTCATGACTTTTCCACGTAAGTAATATATACACTAGTTATGTAAGCATACCACTAAAAAATGTTCACATCTGTGTTTGTGCCCCAATTTTATATCTATCTTCCACAGAAGTGTAGTATTTACATTGGTTTTGTGGATCTTATACTATCCCCTTTCCTTAGAGTTAGAGATACATACATTAGAGAATTGTACTGTGCTAAAGTGTATCTCATTGGATAGAACCAGTTTTCTTAACACTCAAATGGGTCAAATTAAGAACTCTGCCATGGCCATTTGGTAAATATGTGTTTTGTTTTGTTTCAGGGGCTGTTGACATTCAGAGATGTAGCCATTAATTTCTCTCTGGACGAGTGGGAATGCCTGGACCCTGCTCAGCAGAATTTGTATAGAGATGTGATGTTAGAGAACTATAAAAACCTGGTCTCTGTGGGTGAGGATAACTTTAGTACACAATTTGTATGCCACACTTCCTTTGTAGAGTATAATTCGAGAGTTTCTGAATGAGTTTCAGACCCTTGCTTTCAAGGAAGAATCGAGAGATTATTGGTGTTAAAAAAAAAAGTTTTATCTTGACATCAGTCATCCCCTATCTTAAGCTGATAGTATTCTTTACTCTCGATTAATGGTAATTCCAGAAAATCAGTAGCATAAAATAGTGTTGCCCATATCTTAAAATCTAATTGCCACCATTGATTTTTTTATCTAATAGTACTGGATAGTCAAGTGAAAACCCCACAAATTTAAAATACACATGAAATATTCTAAAATAATGTCAGGAAACTTTTCGGTTTTTTTTGTTTTTTAGAATCTTCTATAATGTTGTCTTTTCTCTACTGAGCACAGTACTAGCTTGGTAATTGAACAATCCCAGCAAGAGTCAAGTTACTTTTTTCTAATAAAACAGGTCTTGCTATCTCTAAACCAACCCTGATCATCTGTCTGGAGCAAAGCAAGGAGCCCTGCAATGTGAAGGGACAGAAAATAGCAGCCAAACCCCCAGGTAGGTGAGAGTGAATGGAACAGATGCACAAGTGAGGGGTTGCAATATCAAGGAGGAAGCCAGGCCTTAAGATGTGGTTTGGGAAGCTCTGTTCCAATGAAGTGTTTTCTGAGAAGCTTGGAGTTATGTTTTTTGCTGTCACACAGGGGGAATCTTCTGTTTCATGCTCTTAAATCCTCTAAGGACTCTACTTCCTCTTCAGTGAACTTCCTTCAAGGTTACAGTAAGAGCCAATGCTTACTGCATGGCTTGTAAGGGACAATGTGACCTAACTCCTCTTCCATTGCTTTTGGGGACATGAGCATATCTATATATTTTTGAAGAACTCATTGAACCATTTTTAAAGTTCCCCTTTTGCGTCATGTCTAAAATGGAGAGTAGTGGTGATTTGGGGATTTGATTAAGAAATCCCAGGAACACCACAAACATGACCTGAGCCTGGGGGTTTGAGACCAGCATCGGCAACTTGGCAAGACCTCATCGCTACAATAAATCCAGAAAAAAAAAAAATTACCCAGGTATGGCAGCACATCCCTGTAGCTCCAGCTACTTGGAAGGGTGAGGTAGAAGGATCACCTGATTACCAGCAGGTCGAGGCTGTGGTGACTATGAGCATGCCACTGCACTCTAGCCTGGGTGACAAAGTAAGAATCCGACTCAAAAAAAAAAAAACAAAACCTCATGCCTCCCAATGCAAACATGTGATCCTGGCTGGGTTTCCAGACACCATGGTCTCTGAATCAGTTTCAAGTCTGAAGATGCTTTGAAAGACAGAGCTAGAGATGCTGATGGCCAACCCGTGCAGTTATTTTTGTAGAAATCTGGTCTAACTACTTTAGATGAGACTGTAGATCCCAAATAGGCAGAGAGACTACTCTGGCTGCATGTTTGCAGACAGCGTATGCTTTCCTGTACAATTTGTCGATTGTGACTGGAAGTGTATGCTTTCCTGTCCAATTTGTGGATTGTGACTGGACGCCTCAAGTAAAAGGACCCTGGTAGAAACCTTAAATGTCTGAATCTTGCTACACCTGTTCGTGGTACTGCAGTCTGTCTGCTGCTGTAATAATCATTTACCTTTGGTTTCAGTAGACCCGGTCTGCTTTTCAAAGTACACCTCCATTTCTGCCAGCCCTCTGTGTTACAGGAGGAGAAACCAGTGTTTGGAAACATCCCCAGAAGCCGGGAGTGTGGGCAAATGTACCAGTATTTTTTTTTTCTTTTTTGAGGGAGAAGGCAAGACTTGGGAGTTTACTCCTAAAGGCACCATGCTATTTTGGGTAGGAGTAAGGGCTGTGGTGGGCAAATCCAGCAAACTTTTCTTCCCATTCTTTGTGGCTCTTGGCCTTGTTCTGACCTGAGGTGCTACAGACACAACTACGTTCATAGAGTTCTCACAAAGGCATTTTGCTCGGTATATTTTTGTGACGCTTTTATGTCTATGAAGGAATTGGAGCCTGTGGTATTTTATTATGACTGCTTGCTAATGTACTTGGTATAATTTTATATATGACATTTGTAATGTATGTCTATCTGAGGCTACTGAGTTGTATAATTTGTTGTTTTCACTTCTTTCAGTTATGTCTTCTCCTTACACCCATGACCTTTTGCCAGAGGAGGATATGAAAGATTCATTCCAAAGAGTGGTACTGAGACGATATGAAAACTGTGGCCTTGAGAATTTGCATTTAAGTAAAGAATGGGAAGGTGTGGGTGAGTATAAGGTGCAGAAGAGATGTTATAATGAACAAAACCAATGTTTATCAACTACTCATATCAAAATCTTTCAATGTAATAAATATGTGAATGTCTTCAGTAAATTATCAAATCCAAATAGACACAACGTAAAACATATTGGAGAAAAACCCTACAAATGTACAGAATGTGGCAAAGCCTTTAAATCCCGCACAATTCTTTCTAAGCATAAGACAGTTCATCAGAGAGAAAAACCCTACAAATGTGAAGAATGTGGAAAATCTTTTTACTGGTTTTCACATCTTACTAATCATAAAATAATTCATACTGGAGAGAAACCCTACAAATGTGAAGAATGTGGAAAAGCTTTTTACTGGTTTGCTAATCTTACTAATCATAAGATAATTCATACTGGAGAGAAACCCTACAAGTGTGAAGAATGTGGGAAAGCTTTTAGCTTGATATCATACCTTACTAAACATAAACGAATTCATACTGGAGAGAAACCTTACAAATGTGAAGAATGTGGAAAAGCCTTTAAGCAATGTGGACACCTAAATGCACATAAGAGGTGTCATAGTGGAGAGAAACCCTATAAATGTAAAGAATGTGGCAAAGTCTTTAAACAGTTCTCAAACCTTTCTAATCATAAGATAATTCATACTGGAGAGAAACCCTACAAATGTGAAGAATGTGGCAAAGCTTTTAGCTTGATAGTATACCTTACTAAACATAAACGAATTCATACTGGAGAGAAGCCCTACAAGTGTGAAGAATGTGGGAAAGCCTTTACACAAGGCTCACAGCTAAATGTACATAAGATAAGTCATGCTGTAGAGAAACCCTATGAATGTGGAGAATGTGGTAAATCCTTTAAGTTGTTCTCATATCTTACTAAACATAAGCAAATTCATACTGGAGAGAAACCCTATAAATGTGAACAATGTGGCAAAGCTTTTAATGAATATAAAAACCTTACTAATCATAAGATAATTCATACTGGAGAGAAATCTTTCAAATGTGAAACATGTGGAAAAGCTTTTCTCTGGATTTCATGTCTTACTAAACATAAGAGAACTCATACCTCAGAGAAGCCCTACAAATGTAAAGAATGTGGCAAATCCTTTAAGTTATTCTCATATCTTACTCAACATAAGCAAATTCATACTGGAGAAAAGCCCTACAAATGTGAAGAATGTGGCAAATCCTTTAAGCTGTTCTCCTATCTTACTCAACATAAGCAAATTCATACTGGAGAGAAACCTTATAAATGTGAAGAATGTGGGAAAGCCTTTCACCGGTGCTCATCCCTTATTCAACATAAGAAAATTCATACTGAAGAAAAACCTTACAAATGTAAAGAATGTGGCCAAGTCTTCAACCACTACTCAAACCTTGTTGAACATAAGGTAATTCATACTGGAGAGAAACCCCACAAATGTGAAGAATGTGGTAAAGCCTTTCACTGGTTCTCACTTCTTACCAAACATAAGAGAATGCATACTGGGGAGAAACCCTACAAATGTGAAGAATGTGGCAAAGCCTTTAACTATCTCTCAAACTTACATGTACATAAGAGACTGCATACTGGAAAGAAACCCTATGAATGTGAAGAATGTGGCAAAGTCTTTAACCAGTTCTCACAAGTTACTCAACATAAGAGAGTTCATACTGGAGAGAAACCCTACAGATGTGAAGAATGTGGCAAAGCCTTCAAAGCTCACTCAGGCCTTTGTAAGCATAAGAAATTTCATATTGGAGAGAAGCCCTACAAGTGTAACAAATGTGACAAAATCTTCAAGTGGTTTCAATCCTTTACTACACATAAGAGAATTTGTTCTGCAAAGAAACGCTACAAATGTGAAGAATGTGGGAAAGCCTTTCACTGGTTCTCATCCCTTACTAAACATAAGAGAATTCATAGTGGAGAGAAACCCTACAAATGTGAAGAATGCGGCAAGGCCTTTAATCAGTGCTCAAATCTTAATGTACATAAGAGAATTCACACCTGAGAATTGTCCTACAAATTTCAAGAATATGGCAAAAGGCTTTAATACCTGCTTACATATTAATTCACATGATACTTCACACTGAATAAAAGGGTTACAAATATAATGACTTTTGTAAAACCACCCACAAAATATAAGCCTCAGAGTGTAGCAGAGTATGTATACTGAACAGCATTACAAATATACAGGGGCACAATACCCTTACTTATATCACAGATCTTATTTGTACACAGGAGAATTTTTACTGCACAAAAATTCTCCAGTGGTTGCTCAAGCTTAACCTCAGAGACCCTACATATGAGAGAAACTCTGCAAATATAATAAATACAGAAAAACACTTGTCCAAAAAACATGTCTTAGAAAACACCAACGAGCTCATACTAAAAAATACTTTAGATATGCATTAAATATGAATAAATGTGTACTCATCTAAACATCAGAGGATTCACTCTCAAAGTGTTGATTATAGAAAATAATCTAAAGTTAAAATTATTAGTTAATGTATTTATATTGATTTTTGTGGAGCTATAATTACATGTAAAGTATACTTTTTTGCATTAAAAAACTTTCAGATTTTTTTAAAGCAAAAAAATCAACCCTTAGATCAGTATGTAAATCAACTCTCAAATCACACGGTGCTCTGCCTTCATTTCTAGTGTTTACGTAAAGCATGTGGTTAGTTGTTGCTGTACGGGAGCCTACGAGAGGTCCTTCTAGGTTAGGTGGGGCTCATTTACGTACTTTTCCATGGAGGTTTAAGGATAATCTTCTGCATTATAGTAAGAAGAAAACATTTTTAATTTTAGAAATAAATTGTTTTACTAATTGCATATTAAGTAATAAAATTCAGTGGATTTTGAAATGCTTTTAAAAGTCTACGTGTGATCTTTGTTTTAATAAAACACAATTTAAAAAAATGTGTTAAAACTGCTATACATTGAATAAAATGTTATCCTCTCACTGAGGTTAGCCTAGTCCATCTTATTCAAATTTGTAGGTAATAGATGGTGACAATATATTCTTAGATAGCATAATGGAATGGCATCTCTAGTGATCCCTTTTCCAAGTCTATATAAACTCAGTATGGAGAATATTGTTCCCATGGGTTATGTATTTTTTCTTTTTTTTTCTGTATCTACAGTGTTATGATTATAATGGATATTATATGAAGGTATAACCAAAGGCCATACATTTCTAAATTGTGAGTGACTATTTATAGAATCTTACCCTACATTTTTCAATGACTATATGATCTGTCTAGCCTGAAGAACACATAAAGATGTTTCATTATTTCCATAAGTTCAAATATTCCAATATATTGCTCTAAAGATAAACTTAGGTGTAAGTTTTATTTCATTTATAGCTTATAAATGAACATTTTGGATCACTTAGATAAGAGGGATACTTGTAGCATAATATATGTTTTCATGCAGAATCTTACAGATTTGAAAGTGCATGTTGTGTTGGACAATAATCAAATGACCTCTGTGGGATTAAAATTTGAAATAATCTTTCTCTTTCAGATTGATATTGAACCTTGGAAATTTTCTCACTTATATTATTCTTTATTTTAGTTCAGAGTCCACAGATATCATTTTTAGGCATCAAAATATAGCTAACTTCATGGTCATTTTTACTAAGAAAATTTTATAGGTTATGGCAACTTTGGGATGGAAACATTTCCTCAGTGATTTTTATGCAAACTTGTTTTCTGTGTTCACAGTGTGCCCAGAGGTGGAAATCTTAGCAGCACTTGTTTCTGTAGTGTTTTCTATACCATCCCCACCGGCACCAGGAACCCTAGGTGCTCTGATGTTAAAGTAAAAGCTTTAAAGTACATCGGCCCCTCCCATATTCTGTGCTGGGTTCAAAACATGCTGGTAAATATCAGAGTTTCAATAGTTATGACTGATGACTGTAATGATGGAAGCATCACAAAACCTATATATTTTTGACACTATTCAGTTAAGCTTATGAAAAGGACATAGGCTCAGTAACTAAAGCATTGTTATATTTCCATGATGTTTTTAAAAGCTTTATTAATATTTATTTATTTTTACACTGGCAGATAAAATTGTATATGGCATGTAAAAGTTGATGTCTTGAAGTATATGTACATAATCAAATGCTTAATTTTACCTAATTAACAAACACTTTCTTTTTTGTGATAAGAACACAGTATTAGCTATCTTAGCAGTTTTCAAAAATACAATATAACCCCATTGTAGTCACCATGTATACAAAAATTATCTTTAATTTGTCTTGTCTAATTGTGATTCTGTATACTTTGACAGTCACCTCCCAAACTTTCCTCCCTCATAACGTCCTCAGGCTCTGGTAACCGTTATTCTACTCTCTACTTAAATGGGATCGATTTTACTGGATTCCTCATGAGTGAGGTCATGAGGTATTTTTCTGTGTCTGGCTTTTTTTTTGGATGTAGCAGCACGAATCATAGATCACTGTATTCTCAGACTCCTGGACTCAAGTGATCCTCCTGAGTAGGTAGGGCCACAGGCATGTGCCACAAAGCTCAGCTACTTTATTTCATTTTACTTTTAGTAGAAGCAGGATTTCACTGTGTTGCTCAGACTGGTCTTAAACTACTGGCCTCAAGTGGTCCTCTTGCTTCAGGCTCCCAGTGCATTAGGGTTACATGCAGGAGGCACTACCTCCAGCCTCTGGCTCATTTCAGTTAATATTATGATCTTCAGGTTCATCCTCAAGATTGGAAATGACAGGATTTTTTTTTCATAGGTGAGTGATATTTCATTGTGTGTATATAAACTAAAAAACAAAAGTGAATTGATGTAGTGGTTTTGATTTGCCTTTCCCTGATGATTATTGATGTTGGCCATATGTATGTCTTCTTTTGAGAAATATCTCTTTAGGCCTTTTGTTCATTTTTAATACATATTTGTTGTTTGTTGTACAGCTATTTAATTTTCTTACATATTTTTCATATGAATGCTTTGTCAGAATATAACTGGAAAATATTTTCTCCCTTTCCTAGGTCATCTCATCTCATCATTTTATTGACTGAGTCTGTGCAGAAACTTTTTAATTTTTATTTTTTTTAGAGACAGATTCTCGCTTTGTCACCCAGGCTGGAGTATAGTGATGTGATTATAGCTCACTGTACCTTTGAACTCCTGGGCTCAAATTAACCTCCCATCTTAGACAGATGCAGCTAGGCATTTTAGTTTGCAATAATCCCATGTATCTATTTTTGCATTTATTCCCTGTGATTTTTGAGGATAAAGCCAAAAAATTAAAAGCCCCTGTGTCATGGGGCTTTCTTTTTAATAGATTATAATAGATTCAGAATTTCAAGTCTTATATTTACTTCTTGAATTCATTTTGAGTTGAGTTTTGCATATGGCATGGAGATAAGGTTCTCATTTTAGTGTTCTGTATTTGGCTATTCAGTGTTCCCCACTCCACTTGTTGAAGAGACAATCCTTTTCCCATTTTATGTTCTTGTCACTTCTGTCTCAAATCAGCTGTAAATGAGTAGATTTCTTTCTGGGCTTTGTGTTCTGCTTCATTGGCCAACATGTATGTTTTTATGCCAGTACCGTATTGTTTTGGTTACTATAATTTTGTAGTGTATTTCAAAGGTAGTGTGGTGCTTCCAGTTTTGTTCTTTTTTTCACTTGCTTTGTCAACTTGGTGTTTTGTGGTACCATTTGAATTTTAGGATTAAAAAAAAAATTCTGTGGAAAGTGTGATTGTTATTTTGATAGGGATTCCCATGAATTTGTAGATTCTTTGTGTGTGTATTATAGACATTTTAACATATTTTGCCAGTTTATGAATAAAGGAATTATTTATTGACTTGCATTTTAATCAGTTTCTTTGTCACCCAGGCTGAATTGCAGTGGCAAAATCATAACTTATTGGAACCTCAAACATTTGGGCTTAAGCATTCTTCCTGCATTAGTTTCTAGGGTAGCTGGGATTATAGATGTGTACCACCATGCCCAGCTAATTGTTTTAAATATTTTGTAAAGTTAGGGTGTCATTATGTTGCCCAGACTTGAGTCAAAATTTGGCCTCAAGAGATCTTCCCACCTAAGTCTCTTGAAGTGCTAGGATTACAGATGTGAGCCACTGCCCAGCCTCAATGTTCTTTAGTTTTAATTTAGAGATTCTTCACTTGTTTGTTTAAGTTTATTTCTAAATATATTTTTCGTAGCTATTGTAGATGGGATGGGTATTTTTGTTTGTTTTTGTTTTTGTTGTTTTGTTTTGGATTGTTGATTTACTGAGTTTATTATTTCTAACAGTTTTTTAGTATAGTCTTTACTGATTGTGTTTGCAGCCAGGGACAACTTTCTTTTCAACCTGGATGTTTTTGATTTATTCTTCAGTTGTTCAGGCTTGGACATTCAATACTATGTTGGGTAAGAGTGGTGAAAGTGGGCATTTTTCCTCTTTTTCTAGCTCTTGTACAAAAAGCTATGTCTTTTCCCCATTTAGTATAATGTTAGCTGTGCATTTGTCATACATGGTTCTTTTTTCTTTTCTTTTTTTTTTTTTTTTTGAGTCAGAATCTCACTCTGTTATCCAGGCTGGAGTGTAGTGGCATGATCACTGCTACCACAGCCTTGACCTGCTGGGGTCAGGCAATCCTTCCACCTCAGCCTTCCAAGTAGCTGAAACTACAGGTGTGTGCCACCACACCCGGCTAATTTTATTTATTTATTTATTTATTTATTTATTTATTTATTTATTTATTTATATATATATCTCAGCCTTCCAAGTAGCTGAAACTACAGGTGTGTGCCACCACACCCGGCTAAATTTATTTATTTATTTATTTATTTATTTATTTATTTATTTATTTATATATCTCAGCCTTCCAAGTAGCTGAAACTACAGGTGTGTGCCACCACACCCGGCTAATTTTATCTATCTATCTATTTATTTATTTATCGACTCCACTTCCCTAAGTGCTGGGGTTACAGGCTTGAGCCACTGTGCCTGGCTTTCATACATGGTTCTTATTGGGTTGAGGTGCATTTTATCTATACCTAATTTGTTGGGAGCTCTTATCATAAAAAGATGTTGGGTTTTTGAAAATACTTTTTCTGCACCTATTTAAATGTTATAAATGGTCCTGTGGTCTGTCATCCTGCTCAGTCTGGGATGCGTCTGTACCTAGAGGATGCTATGAGGGCATCACTTTGAATTGAGACCCAGGAATTGTCAACTCTTTGTTGAATTATACCAAGTGTCTAAAAAAGTGATTGTATAATTTAAGTACTTAATATATGGGAGTTGGATAAATGAGCCCCAAGAACCTCCTGAGATATCTGCATGGGCCTGGGTCTCCTCTTCCAGCACCCAGGGACCCTTGTTCTCTCTGTGTTAAGGGCAAAGACCAGCTAGAAGAAATCTCAAACCTCCTTTATAGCAACAAAAACAGGTTTGCTTTTTTCATGTTTTCCAAACAGGTTCATGGGCCATGGAGACATGACAGAGAGAGTATCTTCTTTGAGGGAAGAGAGAAAAATAATAAATATGAACAGCCACAGCATGTCCAGCAGCCTTCCCACAGAGCCAGGCTCTAGGGACCCGCTTACCATGTCTTACACCATTTATTTAGTCCCTGAAAAAACTCTGTGAGGCTCTTCTTGTTACCCTACTTTTCAGAGAAACAAACAGAGGCTCAGAGAACTGCAGTAGTATTTCCAAGACACAGCTAATAGATGGCAGTCACACCACTATGCCTTGAAGTGACATGCTCACCTGCTGAACAGTTGCACCAGAAACTGTGGGCCAGTGCTGAAGTCTTGGTAGGAGCCCAAAAAGGAGATGGTTCTGCCTTGAGAGGCTGGAACCAGGGACTCTACCAGCTGC